ATACTCCCTCCGTCCCCAATTTGATTACAAATTGCGGGTTACGGAGTAAAATTTCCTACTTTTTGAAATCATTTTATTTACAAATTGGTATATCAATAAGTTATAAAAATTACATATTAAAAAACTACGTCAAAAGTTCTACAAAATAAGAGGTGACAAGAATATTTTATTTTATCAAATACTTGATGAAATCGCGTAAACAAACAAAAGTTATCGAGAGGAGAGAGAAAAAAAAATTGTAATCAAATTGGGGACGGAGGGAGTATTATGTATTTAAGAATTATCCCGAAAATTCTAGGGATTTGATTATTTTATTTCATTAATTGAGTGATGAAAATTTACAAAAAAAAAAGTGAATGAAGATTGAATATGTGATTATTGAACAAGAAATTTTGTTTTGGAATGGAAGGAGTATGTCACAATGGGGCACTACCAAGGGATGCTTTCTCAAGTCTCAACAAACTAATCTTGACCTTCAGGGTGAATGATGGTATGGACACGGTCACACGGAAGAACTACTTTGGCAAAGAGGGTAACCCGATTCCTCCATTTTCGGTACCAAACAAAATCGGCGTAAGGTCTATGTGTTTGCCGAGCATACTGAAGTACTAAAATGATCATTTTTTTTCACTTTTATTTTTTTTAAAATTAAAATTTAAAAGAGCCTTATACATCAGTAAAATGAAAATCACCATTTTCTCTACACATTCAAGCAAAGCCGGGTCACCAATGACAAGAGAAGTCTTTTTTCTATAACATTTTTTTTAGATTGATATTTTCTTTTATTTGGTATTGTAGTATTGTAAAAATAAAATGAAATGTTATGATGTTTTTATCGTGTTAAACACCTTATACTATTGTAAAAGTAATCACAAAACCTTAAAATGAAATATTTTAAAACTATTTTAAAATCAAATTATATTATAAATTTAAATTAATTATTTAAAAATAATTGTAGTAGGTCCAATTAAACCTAAAGTTCAAGCTTATGGTTGTAGCCAAGGAAGAGTTATTTATATTCTAACAGTAGGTTGATGAACTGGCGTATGTAAATCTTCACATGCAGTCACGTTTGATCGAGATGGGGTGACACTTGGGACTTTTTAATACTCAAGTTTTATAAAATTAAGTTTATAACATTTCTTTTCTAATTAAAATGTATAAATCTAATTTTTTTAATGAATCATTTTGATTAATTATTTTAAAATTTATATAGATAAAAAAGTTATAGTACAAAAGACCCACCTTCTAAAAAAGAGAGGGGAAGATGAGAGGAAAACACTAAGGTGATGAGAGAATATTAAATGAGAAAGTGATGTGTCATATGAAATAAAGGGAGAATGAGAGGAACAACTAAAATTGTTATAAGGTTCTACCTACTTTAATCGCATTCTTCTATCCAAGGTCAATTTATCAAAAACACAGGTCTTCGCAAAGATCATTAGTTGGTCCGAGAGGATGACTTGTCACACTGTGACTGAGATAAGGCCTAGACTCTTACGGGAGGCAACACCCCAACTTTGAGAACAAGCTTTTTTTGTGTATGAAGAGACTTATGTTGAAGACTCAACATGATTAGCCACACTAGGACTAAGGCATGAACGAGACTCTTATGAGAGGTAGTCGAATATGTGACAATAATGTCATCGCAGATTTGCGACGACAACTATTCACGCCATTGATATTCATGTTTTAGATGTGAAGACTTTTCCATCTTATATATGTGCAAATTTTTTAATTTGTGACCTTGGCGGGGATATTTGGTCGCATGTCCATCCACACTTAGGAGTTTGTGACATAATAGTCAATAATTATTTAGGGGAGCAAATTAGGATTTTGAGGAGTAATATTGTAACACCACCAACTCGCATATCCTGAACTAACCGGGTTAACGGGTTGGAGATGTCACAAAGATGGTATCTCAACAATCAGTTTACTATATAACCAAAAAAGTTCATGGATGCTTAAAACTTTAAAAGGATTCTTAAAACTTGTTTTCCGATGACAGTTTTCCGGCGAAGTTGCCTCCTTTCTCGCCTGAAGGTTTTCTACCCTATTTTAATTTAATTTTTTATTAGAAACTTGTTTTGAATTTAAAATAACAGTAAGAAGCTATTTAGACGTGAAAAATAGAAATTCTTGTCACCGGAGGGTGGTCGGTTTCCGATCACCTTCCTCGACAAGATCACTTCGTTTTTACATTTGAAACACAACTTTTTTCTTCCAATTTTCATTAAAAGACTTGTTAGAGATCACAAAGGAATAGTTTGGACATAAAAATTTGTTGGAATAGATTGTCACTAAAGAAACCCATTTTTCAATCATCTTCCTCGACGTGGTATTCGAAAATTTGTTTGAAAACCTTATTTTTTTCTTCACATATCCTTATATAAGCATCATAGAATCCTTTTAGAGAATATTTTAGACAATTTGGACGTAAAGCATGTTTAAAACAAAAGCCGACAGCGTTCCCGATATCTAGTTACGGAAGTTTAATCAATTGATTATATATATACTCAGTATATATATATATATATATATATATATAGACACACACACACACATATATATCTGTGTGTGTGTTAACGTATTATGGAGTATATTAATTAACGATTGTTATACGGGCGGTGGATGATCGGTAAACTTCGGCAACTTCAAACAAACTTTGAGGGTCTCTCAAGTTAGCCTTTGTATGTATGGTATTGAGGGTCTTGTGATAGTGGTACGAGTGTAGTTTTTTTAACTGGAGATTTAACCACTAACCTATATAAAGTAAAAAGTATGATTACGATTACAATTTTAGAATTCCCCGTTTGGGTATAGAACCACCAGTTCCGGTTCAGATATCAGTTTCGAACTAGAACCATGTTCATATTTAATCAACAAGCTTTCAAAATAGTGAACCTCAAATATTTTGAAGAAATGATGAATTGATATGGAGTGATAATTAAGTTATGAAAAAGCTAGGGGTACACTAAGTTTGTACCCAACTTGAACACCAAGTGTATCAGAGACACATAGACAACAATTGCTTGTGAGATGCACATACAATTATTGTATGTGTGTCTCTGATACAATTGATGTGCAAGTTGTGCTACAAATTTGGTGTATTCCTAGCAACCTTCTAAATATAAGATAAGAGTGAATAGTGTAGGATTTGTCCTTCGTTATTAAACTCCCAAAATAAAATCCAGTTTTGGTCAAATAAAGTCCAAATTCAATTCCATCCATATTTCTGGAAAATATTTGAAATTATGATGCACTTAAATAAATTACTCTCGATTTTAAATTTTTGGTTTTGATTTAGTAATTAATTAATTCTTATATGACCACTTTTGTGGTGTAATAGAGAGAATATCGTTGACTGATCAGCTCCACATTGACTGTGCAGCCTATTATTATACTGCTTATAATATTTTATGTGCCTCAACCTTTTGCGTTAATTTTTAGGATTGAATTGGATAATAGATTATTTTACATGGTATCAGATCTAAAGTCATTGATATTGCGATCCCCTACAGTAATCTTCGTGATATTGCGATCCCCTACAGTAATCTTCGTCTCGTGTGTGGGTGCATATTGAGTGATATGATCAACTCCTATAACAACCATATAGCCTATTATTGTGCTGCTTAATTATAATAGCTTTGATACTTGGATGTCTCAACTTCTTAAGTTATTTTTTGAGCTTGAATCCGACCTTAGTGTATTAACTTACAAGTATTTACTTAACTTTTATGAAATTAAAGTTCATTATGTAACTTAAGTCAATACAAGAATTTATCATACGTTCAATATATACAAGGGTGTTACTATATTAACTCACTCTTATTTTGGCTATTTATTTTATTGTAAATTTGTAATTGGATATTTTTGTGTTTAAAACTTGATTTGCATTTAAAATTTTCTCATTCATATTGTTAAGAATAACGCTTTTAATATAATTTAAATAGAACCAATTTAAATGAGAGTAAATATACTCCGTAGTTACGTGTATATGTAATGGAAATGAGCAGTTTGATTAATTTCCACTTTAGATGACTGCCTGTTGAAGTGTTGAGTGCCGACCAAAAGAAAAAAAACGGCAATTCAACGCCGCACAGCAACGGGAAATACACTGAAAGCTACTCAGGCAGCGCGTGCGGCTCAGTCGCTCCTCCGCCGCTCGTCCAAAGAAGTCCATCTGCAAGACGGAGATATCCGCCGCTCGTTTGTCTCTTGGGCAGAGCAAAGCTCTCAAATCTCAGGCGTGTCCCCGAAACTTTCGCCCGAATCTCGGCACACATTTCTCCGTTTTCGGCATTTGTAACTTCATCGCCGGTGGATTACTAGTAGTAGTAGTAGTAGTTCGGGAATGGAGACGAGGAGAACTGACAGCCCGGTGCCCACGCGCCATTGGAGAACCGAATCTGGAGTTCTCAACCCTCCGGCAGCGGCGCGTCCGCACCACGGTCGCTCCTCCTCCGTTTCCGGCATGTCCAGCGTTAAGCGCACTCAGAATGTTGCGGCCAAAGCGGCTGCGCAACGGCTTGCTCAAGTCATGGCCTCCCAAGCTGCCGCCGGCAATGAGGAGGAGGAGGAGGAAGATGACGATGACCTGGGGTTCCGATTCACTCCTCAGCCTCTATCTAGAACCGCCTCGGGTCCTCCCGCTAACAGTGGCAACAGAATTAATGGCAATGCAGCCAAGGCTTCTGCTCCCTCAAGTAAGATCAGTAGCAGATCCTCTTCTCCTTCGGTAATTCCCAGACCTAGATCTCTTTTTTTTTATTCTTTTTTAAATGTTGAAATCTATTAGATACTTTGCTTCAAGACTGTGGATTTGTGGCTATTCATACAAGAGTTGCTTTTAACAATGCCTATCTCTGGACCCTTTCATTTGCATAACCGGATTTTAATAGAGGGATTAAACAAGCCCGTGATGTCTGTGAGGAGTGTGGTGTCTAACTTGGGGTAAAAAATGGGGTACCCCAAGCTTAGTTCTTAAACAAAACAATGCACACATTTAAGTTTAGCTCTATATGCTCTGAAGAGCTACAGTAGTTGTTCTTGAAATCCAGAAATGGGATATTCAGCCTGGTGCCATGTTGTTCACTGGTCATTATGATCTCCTCTATCAAGGACATACCAACCTCAGTTTATATGTCTCTCACCTTGCTGTTTCATCTTTCATGTATGAAGCTATTTTTCTCGAATTTGAAAGTTCAGTGGGATTAAAGTTGAACAGAAAGTCTCAAATTGGAACAAGAATTTATCCATATATATTGCTTGCGGAACTGCTTTCACTTGTCAGTGTGCAGTACCTGTAGGTGCTAAGTTTTTATTCATTTATTTATTTACTCCCTCCGTCCCAAAATGTTTGTCACATTACATAAAACGAAGCAAAATTTTAACTTTTTTCAATTCATTTTATTTAAAGATTGATATAAAAATAAAAAAGTAAAATTTACATATTTAAAACTATGTCAAAAATTCTTCAGAACAAGATGTGACAAGAATATTTTATTTTATCAAATAACCGATGAAAACGTACGATTAAACAAAAGTTCTTATGATTTTTGAATAGTGAACTGTGGCATTCTTTTTGGGGCGGAGGGAGTATATAATTTTCTTGCTATTTTAAACAGGTAGCTCGAAACATGGTGGAAGAAGCTCCATCTCTTCAGTCACTGTCAGCTGGGAGGCCTGTAATGTCAACTCGACCAGTACCAGCAGTACCAACTAGCCGACCATCATCAAAGACTCCAGTGGTCATGCCACTAATTGATCCGCCCTCCAACAAAGCACAAGAGAAAAGGTAACCAAGGTGCAACCCTTTCATTTTTTATCGACTAAACTCAAATCTTACTAGTTGGAACTTCTAGTCATCTTAGTAGAAATTTGGTACTATATCTTTTTCCGCAATACAATGTATTAGTGCTTTAGATTTTACTCTTTTCACAAATAATGTGGAGTACATTGTCCCCAGCTTAGAGCTCTTATTATGTCCAATTTATGTGTCTAGAGGCTAGAGTTTGGAATGCTAATTAACAGCACCTGATGGTTACCACTTGAACTTGGAGGGGGTATTCTGTTTCATATCTTTGCTTTAACTGTGTAACCTTTTCGTGCAGATTTTCACCAAACCTGGGGCAAGCAAGTTTAAGAGATAGGGGGGATCAGCATGGCACTTCTGCACTCCACGATGAAGTAAGAAATTGTTTTCCATTTTCTCCTTTTTTTCTTTCTGAAGTTGTCCAAATTTACACTTCCGACTAGAAAACTAATCAAAACATGTTTCAAATAATTTGCATTCTGATATTTTCAAATTATATAAATTCTGCTTTTCTTTGTAGCTTTCTATATAAAAGCCATCGTGAATAGTAGATAACATTGGCAGTTCACATTGCCGTACTTATTTGGTGGTATGGTGACTCTAAGTGAGTACTCGTATAATTTAGACAATATACCAATCTGATTTGTCTCCAGCGTTCCAGAAAAACAGAGAGTATTCCAATTACTGAAGATGAACTAAGTTACCATTGCTTTGGTCACATACACTACATTCTATATCTGCATACTACTCTAATGCAGGATCTAAGAGGGTTTTGGTATTGTCTTGCTAATACATTTTTTCTCCTTCCAACCTAATCTTTTCTTTGGCCCCTTACGTGCAGCTTGATATGTTACAAGAAGAAAATGAGAATCTTCTTGAAAAGGTGGACTTTGTAGTAACCTTTCCTTTTCAACTTATTTTCTTTCTTTAATTCTGACAGTAAACTTTTTCTATAGCTTAGGAATGCTGAGCAGCTTTTCAAAGAAGCAGAAGCTAAAGTAATAGAGTTTGAGAAGCAGGTATGTGGTACAATGTTAATGTACACACCATCATAAGGATATGATTTTCTTTAGTTATTATTTTTTAATTTATAATTGGTAGCTATTATGTTGCTCGGTTGAGGTTTCTTAGTTCTTAATTGTGATATTCCCCATACTTATGGAGCCAGTAAAAGATGAGTATAAGATTGCTCGTAAGGACACTAAGTTTTCAATTACGACAGCTAAAAATGCAAGTTTTGGCCATCTGTATAAGGACCTGGAAGAGGGAGGATAGAAAAGATTGTTCCGCTTAGCTAAGGCACATGAGGGCTTCGGTGGCAGGGTTACTTTCATGGTCTTATGAATGCTTGGGGGTTGGGAGCATGCTACTACGTGAGCTAGGAGAGTTTGAGAGGAATTGAGAGTTTGGATACTGTTGGTGCATTAGTTAAGAAGAGGTGGTTAGGGCTATTTTCATGATTAGAGAGGGGAGAGCCACGTGACCAGATGAGGTTCTGGTGGAGTTCTATGAGATTGTGGACAAGTTCCTTAATGTTATTTACTGGACGACTAATATGCCTGTGGAGTGGAGAGAGAGTTTAGTGATCCCTTTGCACAAGGGAAAAAGTGATATCCAATTTTGTGATAATTATAAATACATCAAATTGTTTAGTCACGTTATAGAGGTTTGGGAACATAGCATTGAGGTTACTCAGGTTAGGTTGAGGAAGGAAGTGAGCATTTATGATAAATAATTTTGTAAGGTTTGGGAGTGTAGCATTGTGGTTACTCAGGTTTGGTTGAGGAAGAAGGTGAGTGTTTCTGAGAATCAATTTAGTATCATGCCTGACCTATTGACTACTGAGGCCATCCACCTCTTGAGAAAAATGATGGAGAAGTATATGGACAAGAAGGGAGATCTATACAAGTTGTTTATTGAGTTGGAGAAAACGTGTGACAGTGTTCAAAAAGAGATCTGGTGGAGGTGCTTAGAGCTTAGAGGGGTACCAGTTACATCTTTGCGGAATTGCGGTCAAACACATCTATGTCAGGGAAAGGATTAGGGAGAAGGCTGTTAGAGTTGACTCTTACCCATTGCCGGTGGAGGCAGGATTACACCAAGGGTCTGTCCATAGTCTTTCTTGTTTGCTTTGGTGATGAATGTTCTAACACAACATATGTAGGGGAAGTACTTGGTGCCTGCTATTTGCTGAAAACATTGTCCTGATTGACGAGACACGGGATGCCTGAGAAGCTCAATGATAAGCTAAAAGTGTGGCGTTAGTCCTTGGAAGTTGGAATCATAAGATTTCAAATTCAGCAAGATTAAGAGCATGTTCTCTTTGTCTGATCTGATCTGATTCAAGTTATATTTAAATCTCTTTCTAATCTGGTATGGTCTTATCATATTTTAATAAGAACAAGTTGAAGAGAACAAGCTCTAAGAGAGTATGTGAAATATTGATTCAATGGTTGGGCAAGTGGTTAGGTGACTGAGTTGGAAGTGGAAGTAATGGGGGGGGGATTAATGGGGATGTTGTTCGTCGTATTAGAGCCGCTTAGGAGCAGAGGAAGCTAGCTTCAGATGTCCTTTCTGACATTTGTCGCAAGAAGATAACGACAAATATGAAAGAGAAGTTTTATCGGATGTTCAGACCGACTATGTTATACAACACACAGTGCTTGGCACCAAAGAAAATTCATGTTCATCACATAGATGAATATGCGAGGTAGATGTGTTGTCATACGAGGATAGCTAATATACAAAATGAGGTTATTTCGGGGAAGGACGGGAGTGGTACCCGTTGAGAATAAGTTGCGGGAAGCTAAGCTATGGTAATTTGGACACGTAAGGAGGAGAAGTACATTGGCCCGAGTCCGGAGAAGCGAGAGGCTTGCAGTAGGTAGTGTGCATGAGAAAGGGTAGATGTAGACCTAGGAAGAGTTGGGAGGATGTGATTAGTTTGTCATTCATGCTGGTGTGTTTTATGCCTTAGTCTGTAGCTCGTGCGTGTGTGCTTTGTGCCCGGGTTCCTAATATTGGTACGTGTGCTTTTGTCTGCTTTTACTTTGTTTGTGCTTCCGTGTTTACTTTATTTGTGTGTTTGAGTCGGGGGCCTCTAATAGTCTCTCTACTACCGAGTAGTGGTAAGGTCAGCATACACACCATCCCAAGACTTTATGTTTTGTGGGATTTTACTTGGTTCGTTGTTGTTGTTGTTGAATTAAACCCCCCACAAGAATTAATAATCAATCTGAATAAAGTCTTCTTACTTTAGGTTGCTGCTCTTGGGAAAGGAGTATCTTTAGAAGCCAAGCTATTGAACAGGTTTCATAAAGTTTATAAGTTTCTAATAAAGTTTATAAAAGTTCTTACATTTCATCTGTCTTTATTGTAGTTATTTTAATTGCTGATGTAAAATGGTTAAAGCTACTCTTATTCTTGTGCAGAAAAGAAGCAGCTTTGCGCCAAAGGGAGGTAAATTTGGAAACTTTGTTAACTAGATAGTTGACTGGGTGGAACCTTTTTTTGGATCATATGTAATGGCATTTGGTTCAGCATTGATCTTGCAATCCACTTGCAGAAAAGATACTAAAATCTCTAGTGGAATTGAAACCAATAAGTTTTCTGTGTTGGTTATTGTCAAGGAACCAACTCAACCAAAAGCTCAAGCTTGTGGTTGTGGCCCAGGAACAGTTATTTATATTCTAACACGCCCCCTCACGTGCATGTGTAGTCTTTTTTCGAGCCTTGCACGTGAAACCTTAATTTTTTTTAAACTGGGTGGCGCTGAGTTTTGAACCCGTGACCTCTTAGTCAACGAGGCTCTGATACCATGTCAAGGAACCAACTCAACCAAAAGCTCAAGCTTGTGGTTGTGGCCAAGGAACAATTATTTATCTTCTAACAGTTATCATATACTTCTAAATTATGATAGCTAATGCTAAGCCATTGTAGGCTGCACTAAAAGAAGCAAAATCAAAAGAGGGTGTAGATGGGGAGCTTGCAGCCCTACGTTCTGGTGTAATGGTAAAGTGTTCCGACATGCATGCAAGCGTTGTTGTTGCCTTTGGATTCTTCTGTCTAATGTTCTGACTTGTGCTGTTTTATATGCTGTAGAATGCAAAAAATGAGGCGGAAGCTGTGGCCGATAGACTTAAAGGGACTCAATCTGAAGTTAAAGCTTTGCGATCTATGACACAAAGAATGGTTTTAACCCAGAATGAAATGGTTTGTTAGACTGTTACTGCATTTTTTGGAGATCAGATTGCTATTTTTAAGGCCACATTATATAAGATTCAATTTAATAGCTTTTTCATATTTCAGGAAGAAGTTGTTCTCAAGAGATGTTGGCTTGCTCGTTATTGGGGTTTAGCTGCTCAGTATGGTAAGTTTTTGCCCCTCATTTATTTCACTCAAATATTTATTTTCCATGATGTGTATGTTAACATCAATTTCTAATAGTGCTAAAATAGTACTCCCTCTGTCCCATAAACTCCTTAACCTTTTTTTTATTTGTCCCACAAAGTTCTTCCCATTTTTATTAAAAAACCACTTTTACCCTATTAATTCTTACCCTATCTATCACATCATACCTTTAAACTAATAATCTACTCATCACATCCTACTTTTACCTATCACATCAAGGGTATTTTTAGAAAGTCAACATAAAATATCCCTTCCTTAATTCTCCTAAAGGTCAAAATTGGAAGGATTTTAAGAGACGGAGGAAGTAATTTTTTACAATGTTTTATCGTCGTGTTAATATGGAGTAATTCAAAATGACACATTAAACATGCCTTGCTTGTTCTTTATGAAAACTGGTATTAAATGCATCAATGCATCAAAGGTCTAATGGAAACATGCCTTGAGTTTTTTTTTAATTTTATATTAATACATCCGTCCCAAAATGAAGTTTTTATGATGTTTAACTGAATTTCTTTTCAGCTTATTAGAAAATTGGTGTGTAAATGAAAAATAAAATTTAATTATTTGAAAAAACTATGTCAAAAGTTCTACGGAACACGATGTGACATGACTAGTTTTTTTTATCAAATGATTTAGGAAAATAGGCAAAGAAAGTGGATAAAATTTTAGGGGAACTTCATTTTGGGACGAAGGGAGTATAATGGAGCATGACTAGGGAAATTTTTGATATTTTAGAAGCAAATACAAAAATTATAATGAGGTCATTTTTGGAATTTCATCTCATTATTCCTTCTTAAAAAATTTGTGAGACGAAGGACTTCTGGTGAAACACTTTGCTTCTATACATTTTTGCATGAATTTATAGTGTTATGCTAATTTGGAAAACTAATGACACTGAATTTCATGTCACCAACCCCAACATTATTTGGGATCAAAGCGAGGATGATGATGATGTCTTTTTTGTTATACAGGTATCTGTGTGGACATTGCTTTTACAAAGCATGAATATTGGTCATCTTTAGCTCCTCTTCCTTTCGAAATAGTTCTCTCTGCTGGACAAAAAGCTAAGGAAGAATATAGGCAAACAGGCTAGTAACTGTTACAACTTACAATTTATCCATATATTTTTAGAATGAAAAGGATTTTTTTTATTAATTTTAACACTTTAAAATATTGATTTATTTTCTCGATATATTGTATTTTGCATGTAAAACTATTACTCGTATAATTGAGCAGGTGATGACAATCCAGATAAGGGCAAACATGTTCAGGATTTTAGTGATCTGACTGGCGAGGGAAACATTGAGAGTATGCTTTCAGTTGAAATGGGATTGAAAGAGCTTACTTCACTGAAGGTTTGCCCTTGCAATTGAATGTCTATGTGGGAACCAATTTTAGACAAATCATAATTTATATTTACTTTCTCAAAAGGTGGTTGTATATTCATGAATTTTATGACCTATTGCTCTAGTTTTTCTCATCTAATCACAGTTAATAACTTATACATGCTCTGCGTCTATGCCACCCAATATTTGGCCATTTAACAAGAATTTTATGCATGGACCTTAATTATGGAAATAAAGTTTTTGGCCATAGTTTTTAGGCCTAGGATAAGAATAGTTGGGTAGACCTGAGGGATTTAGTTTGTAGTTCGTGTTGGTGTGTTTTCATGCATGAGTCTCTAGCTTGTGCAAGTGTGAAACTGTGGTTTGTGTGCCTGGGGTCTGAGTTGCTAGTGTCGGTATGCGTGCTGTTTTTGTTTGTGTTCTTACATGTTTCGTGCTATTGCGTATATTTTGGTTGTGTGTGCCGCCGTGTTTGAGCTGGGGGTTTCTTGGAAACACTCTCTCTACTTTCAAGTAGGGGTAAATGATGTACACATAACCCTAGACCCTACTTTTTGTGGGATGTTACTGGGTTGTTGAAAAGTTTCTGGGCGTGTTGTTATGGACTGTCGGCATTTTCAACTTAAATGATGTAGTTTAATCTTATTTTTCAATCATCTACTCTTAACATACTCCCTCCATCCCATTTAATAGTGTATGTTTGGGTTTACGATGTTTGACCGGAGTTATTTTTAATTCAATTTATTTAAGAATTGTGGTGGAATTAAAAAAATTACATATTCAAAAACTACATCAAAAAATCTTCGAAACAAGTGATGTTTGAGTTTACCTTAAATGTTGCTGTTGTGGCATATTAAATTTCTTTTAATGTTACAGTTGATGCATATGATAATGGGAAGAATAAAAGAAAACTTAAGCAGTGGGTTGATGGGAGTTATAAAGCTGATTATTTTCTCAAATATGGTTGATTGATTTGATTTGATTATACCTTCACTACCTTATCTGTTTTAGGAAATGATACAAAATGACAGATTGGTGCTTTGCGTTGCTAATGTAACATCATAGAAATAATTAAGAAGAAACGGATGAAGATGCAAATTCTCCAAATTCCGTAGGAGTAGGAAAACTCCAAAAAATTCATTGCCTCATATTATTATTTTAATTCATTCAACACAGTATTTGTACCCATCGAATCCAAATGTGAAGTTGATAACATAGATTGATCTCGTTCTTTTTAGTATTTAAGACAAAATGGTGCTTGATTTTGGCTTCTTTATTATGCAATTGAGGCCCAAGCCAAGCATTGCTTGGTTGACTCAATTTATGTTTACTGACGGTGAGCCTCACTTTTGGGTTAAGTATTTTGAGGATTAAAAGGTTGCACCTCTCTATTTTGCTGATATTTTAACAGTTTAACTTTAGTCATTGACAACCAGTTAGACTAAATTTAGAACCCGTTTGGCAATAGCTTTAGCCTTAGTGTTTTCAAAGTCTGCACCATTAAAAAATTATTCAAAATGCTAAAGCTATTTGGAAATGTTGTTCCCAACCAAGGCTGTAGTCTCTTGACAATCTGAATGCATTACTGTTACTTCAAAGTATTTGAAATGCCACCTTTGTTGGCAGTTCAATAGACTGAAATCTTTTGCTTGTAAATAAGCTCTATAACTAAATGCAATCATATTGATAGTCAATGAATATAAGTTGTGCAATCAATTCAGCGTTTTCCCTCATTTTCTTGGTAATCTTAGATATCTAGCCAAATATGGGTATTTTATATAATTTTTATATATGACATCCCTTCTAGGTTGAAGACGCAATTGTCCTTGCACTGGCTCAACAACGGCGAGCAAACTCTGCCCGAATGTCAATCTCAGGTTTGACTCTCCACCCTCTATCTCTCACACAAAATCACAGACAGACAGATGGGCAGTTCTTCTTTTGGGGTTCTGTGTGCTCCTCTTGGTTGCAAACTTAGGATTTAAGGCACTTAAGAGACTTTCATATTTTATCATATTATGTATGTTAACATGTTGCATCTTCTTACTTTACGACAGATCTCAAGTCACCTGGTGGTGATCCAAAGTATATGGAAGCAATTGGTTAGTTTAATCTACTTTATCCTTAGCACACTACTCATAATGCTTTGGTCTTGGCATCATCATGACATGGCTTAACGCATGGAGAACATATTTTCATCATTTAAAAAACCTATTGCTTAAGCTCCCCTGCATCCTGGGCTCTGAGGAAGAGGATTCTTAGTAAGCACCACCACACACACCGTCTTTCATTGTCACCCTTCACGAAATTTCATTCTCTGCAATTTGGATTTTCTTTTTGAGCTCTTTACTTCTTTTTGGCACTGCCTTTCACTACACAAACCCTTCTGGAGTCTTCTCTCCTCAAAATTGTGAACCTAGGTTTTGGGGTTTCAACATTCTCACCATTGTGCATACATCACTCCTCTAAATTGCCGTAAAATCAATCTGAAGCATGTGCATGTTTCCTTTTGCAGATCTGAGCCCTGAGGAGTCCGAAGATGTGCTCTTCAAGGAGGTTGGCATCATTTTATCTTCTTGTATTATATACAGTAGTATTTATTATTTAATATTTATTTATAAAACCAAATTGTTTTCTTTTTATCTTTTCTCTTCTTTTTTTTGCCATCCCCTAAATCTTCCTCTAAACAACTTCCTATTACTTGTATGCGCTTCTCGTCCAATGTTTGCCTACCTAAAGGTGAGCTCCTTGCCGGTGTTCATTTCTTCTCTCATATGGGTTTGATGCAGGCATGGCTAACTTATTTTTGGAGAAGAGCCAAGGCCCAAGGCATAGAGGAGGAAACTGCAGACAAGCGGCTTCAGTTTTGGATAGGCCGTAGCGCGCAATCCCCAACTTCACACGATGCTGTAGATGGTATATACCTCTCTGAAACAACCCAAGAATCTCAATCCCCAGATTTCAATCATGCCATAATAAAAAAGCTAACAATTTCAGAGCATAGTGCCTTGTTTGTTTTACCTTTCCATTCATTATAAGTCACTGGTCCATTTTTTTTTTTGATAACTGGGCGGTATGGTTCCATTTCAGTTGAGCAAGGCCTAATGGAGCTGAGGAAGCTGGCCATTGAGAAACGCCTATGGGACGCATCTCGCAAAGAAACTGACAACTGACAGCTCAAAAAAGCAAGCGCTTCTCTGCCAATCTGTTTGTATGTATTTACTTCCCTTCCCACGTCACGCCATACTATTTCTTGCTAAAGAATTGTTATTATCACGCTAACCATTAATCATTATCAGCACGTTAAGCCCATCTAGTCCGCGTCGGTGGCTTTAAACTTGTACTCCCCATTAGTTGTATAAAATTAGTTGATGATTTTGTTTAGTATAAGGTCTTGTTTGAGTTTGTATGTAATTTTCTTTGCGCCACGCCAACATATTTATGGGCACATTAGTGCCGTTTGTGGGAAGCCATGAGACATAACCCCATAAGTAGACAGATGGGTCTATTTGAGGAGACTAATCTCTGCATTTTTTGGGCAAGGACTAATAAATTGAATATTTGTGTGAAATACAAATATGGAATTGTTAATATTGAAGTAGTGTAATGATTCCCATACCATTTACAAATTTTAATGGTGAATGATGTTTATGTTTGAGCCGTGACCGTAAAATTGTGTAGAAGCAATGGAAATGGTCATGAAGCCAAGCGCTTCAAGCTGGGGTTTCAAACATTCTATCTCTGCTAAATCAGCTTTAATCTTGCTTTAATTTACATCACAATTTGACTCGAAATGGATTTGAAGTCCCGAGGCTTCAAACTTTTTTAAAACAAACTTTAATACACATTTTGTAAAAACTAACACTAAATTAAAAATTTACACTAAATTAATACATTTAATAAAAACTAACATTAATGTACTACATTTAATAATGTAGTACATTATTAAAAAACTAAGGCAAATTATATTTTTTCTTGATCTTGTTTTGTCTTCTCTTGTAATACATACGTTTGAAGCCTGTAATGTATCAAGGTCGATTTTTATTATTTCGAGCTATTTCTTCTCTTGCTTTCATTTCTCCCTCTCTTCTTCCTTAATATTCAACACCCGCAGTTTTTCAGCCATTGATCGACCAATGTCATTGTGAGAGGAAACAGAGCCAGACCATGTAGAACTCGGGACAATGGATTTTGTCTTCTTTCTTCTGACTGATCGTGGAATAGGATCCTCGTCATCGGAGTTGTCTAGGTTGAAGGGAGACCTTTGTTCTGATGAGCCGATAGTGTCATCGGCCTCAACCTCGGCGAAGGATTTTTTTTTTTTGACGACCCGACCTAGGGTTGTTGAGTTGTTGCCATTTTGGTGGACGGCTTAAAACTCTCCACAGGTCAATTGGGACTTTGCTTTGGTGTCCGTCGTCTTGATATCGAGCGGTGGCTTGCCGCAGAACATCGACATCGTTCATCCCGCTTTTACGAAACCGAGAGCATTCCTCGTAAACTCCGATAAACATTCAAACTTTTCTGTTGATGTGACCCATTTGGAAGTGACTTGGTCTCGAGTTCAGTAGGATGCTCCGAGATGTCAACCCACACATCTACTTTTGAATGGATCGTGTCGCCTCGATCATCATCTTGTCGGTCTTTGGTTTGTGACTCTTTCAGCGTGCTTTTTTTGGTGCACCTGGTTCTGGTTGAGTCTCCAGAACCGACTCTGGGTCCTCCAGATTCACCGATGTTTGCGTATTGAAAAACGTTGGATTATTCTCATATGTTTGGTAAAACCACATTGTGTACTCGTTTGTCTCAAGACTGGACGGTCATATGGAGGAACCGAAGGGATTCATGATAAAGATAAGTGAAAAACTTGAAGATTTTTTTTAAGAAATAAAAAAGAGAGATTTATGTTTGTGTGTTTTATTTTTAAGAAATAGAATGAATTTATAGAGGAAGAATTTTTATTAAAGATGTAACGGCATTATAGCCGTTGGAAGGGGAGGGGGGCCGTGTCTCTAATGCTTCGTTTACCCGTTAAACGTTTGATGCAGCCCATTTGGCGCCCGAATTACGATGCTGCAGGGTGGTGCTTAATGCCCTCACTGGGCGTATTTCCACAATCCTTATGGGTTATGCTTGGATAACCCCACATTTTGACCCCATACTTGATCTCAAGTTTTGCATAGCCACGTACTGAACATAGTTGCCTACTTGCCTATATGACACTTATAATTATTGTCTATTGTGTGTGAGTATAGCATGAAGTCAAACATATGGTCAAAAATCTCCTCGACTTTATTCGTTGCTTTAGAGGGCATACAAAGTACTACGTATATACTTCCTCCGTCCCCCAGTATTTGTCCACTTTCATTTTTACACACTATCCAATACACTTCTTTAATTTATTTTATCTTGTAATTTGTATATTAAAAAATTATAGAAATTATATATTAATAATCTATACGTTAAGACAAATCAAACAAGATCACACATGACTATATTTAGGCTTACACATTGAGAGAATTTGATGAGTCAAAGTGTTTAGATGAATGATTCCAAAAGTCAAAACTGGACAAATATTGGGGGACGGAGGGAGTAGTAAATATGAGTATCTAAACAGGGATAGGGACGGAAAGAAAAAAAATGTATGTTTTCTTCAATGTATTTATTTCAATCAGACCTATCAGATAAAAAATAATTTTAAATATAAATGTAATCAGATTGGACTAAATCAGATCAAACCTTTTTAACAAAGAGAACATGCTTGAGGTTAGAATTCGATTTGTATTTTTTGGTAGTATTAACTCTATAAGAGTGCAGTACTCCCTCCACTTCAATTCAGACTGTCCGTTTGAATTTATTGTATTTGACTGAAACTATTTTTAATTATTTATTGAGTTGGATTTAAAATATATAATTTACACATTTTAAAACTTTATTAAAACTTTATCAAAATAAGAGATGATATTACTATATTATTTTATTAAATAAGAAGTAAAAATTGATAAAGATAGTAGATAAAAGTTTAATGTTGTAAATAATTTAAACGTAATATAATTTAGGACGAAGGCATTTGACTTTAAATAGTTCAAAGATATGATATTGCATTTAGAAGAGCTACACTCATGTTGATGGAGAAGAAGATTCTTTGACAATTGGGTTTGTACTTTGTACCACCGTGTAGTATAACTCAATTCTCTCTTTTAGTTAGAGGAAATGGGGCCTGGTATTTATGTGCAGCTGATTTGCGGTGAGATTTTATTTATATAGTTCACGAGCAATCCACCTCTAAAAAAGAAAAAAAAAGAAAAAAAGTCTTTTTGGAAGTCAATGCACCTTGGCCAGCAGGCAGTCCAACTATATAGGGGAGAACTCATTCTCTAATTTATATTGCACACAACTTCATTTTCCATTTGGGGACACATTGGTCTTCTTCTTTTTCTTTTTTCCCAATTGAGTGATAATATTATTCACATCTTACAAAGATATGTTTCGAAGGCCAAAATTAAAACATGTGCCCTTAAAAATAAAAAAAAACAAAGCAAAACAAAGCAAAATTCTAAGCTTTTCCAATTAAATTAGTTTAAAGATTTGGTAGAAAAATGAGAAATAAAAAAAACACACAAATATTTTGATTAATAAATATGTAGTAGGTGTATTTTTTTAATTGAACGTTAAAATATTTTTTGAGATGGTTGAAATGTGAAAGTTGAGACGTTTTTCAGGACGGAGGGTGCATTTTCTACCAATTATATCAATGTGGAATGAAAATGTTATTTACGAAAAAATAACGCTTGGTATAAAAGTAAGCATTTATAAATTTTAAAACATAATTGAATATGAAAGTGAAACATTTAAAATGTAACTATTTAGTCTAATGCTCTTCAATTTTTAGATGCCAAATGTGACATATCATTTAATTGCTCCATATTTGGATGGTTATTTGAGATTAAATTAATTAGTCTGTACTTTTTGAGCATTTGTCACTTCATTTAAAAAATTGAATGTACCGCATCTTGTATCCCTAGTGTTCCCGGTATTGTTGTTTGAAGGAATCAAAGGTGCCCCTGTGAGATTTTTTTCTTGGATCCGCCACTGCTCTCAATTGTACTCCGTCATTCTTCAATATTAACAGAGTCTAATGATTTCATATAAAAAATGCTATCTCTGCAATGCAGGACCGGTCTCGAAATATGAAAAAATAAAATTGGCCCGGTCCAAAATTTAAATTTTGGACCCTATTTTATTTTTTAGAATACTTATACTATAAAAGTAATGTCAAATTTAAAAATATGAGACTCAAAACTTTAGGGACCATGTGCGGTTGACAACTTTGCACACCTTCTAGGCCACCCATGATGCAATGCACATGTGTGATATCATCGAAAATGTCATCAATTAAATGATTGTATATTAATACAATGAAATATAAAATAATAAACAGATCAAACTGGACAAACTTTAATAAACATTATTTAACTAATATACGGAGTACATTATAGTAATTTTTATATAATTAAAGCTTAAAATTTATTAATTTAATTCAAAAAAATCAAACAAAGAGCTTGAGATGCATTTAAATTTGGAGTTAGCCTTATTATCCGGGCCTGGGGACCCCAGATTAGAATGGGTCTATCCTGGCAAGCGACAAGCGCTGCAGATGCCTTCTGAGCCCAAAAAAATTTCTCAGTCATCTCTGCAACAAGCGCTCATCCCTTCCCGAGAAGACACTGACCACAGCCCAGTCTTCTCTCTTCTCTTCTCCTTTCGTCGCCATTGATCCCTCCTCCTCTCTTCCACGACCAAATGGAGCCGGCGCAACACCAAGCCAGCAGCTTAGGCGACGACGACGAAGGAGGCGCCGCGGATGCAAGGGGATTCGGATGGAGCAGCGGCGATGTCGCCGGAGACATGAAAGAGGAAATGACTCCCGGATCCGGAGAGAGGATGTTCCCGTATTCATGCGGCGGGAGCGACAACTCCTGGTTCGTGAACAGTCACAGTGAAGGAGACGCATCGCGCTCGCCTTCCTTGCTTCAACTCCATTCACAAGAGAATTGCGATTTCTCTGCTGTTATTGACTCCGGCTATGGCGGTTGCGGTGGTCTCGACCCCACTGAATCGACTCTCTCGCTCCATCCTCATCCCTTTCATCCCCATTATCCTCCTTACTTCTCGTCGCTATTCACCGCCGTCTGCAACTATCCTTTTGACGATAATCTCGAATTACTGAGGAATTCCGGGTTCTCGGATACCCTAGCCTGGAATTCGAACGATGCTATGAGTTCTCAGGGGTTGAGTTCGCAGATGAGGCTTGCCGAATCGGACTTGGGGTTCCTCATGCGCCACACACCTGCGGACAATGGCGCCGCCGCCGTATCTTGCTGCGGTTTTGGCCCAGCGAGCTTGGATGGATATGGAGCCATGGCTATGAAGACACTCGATAGCCCACCTTCGGGAATGGGGACATCTGATCTAAATCTCCTCCGGAATAGATCGATTATGCATAAGAAATCAGATTCTGGAGAGCCATGTGAGAATCTCATGTTGTCCGAGTACGATAATAACGATGGAGTGGAGATTTCAAACGCCACTAGTTCAGCTATGGACGGAGGGGATCCCAAGGGGAAGAAGAAGGGGAGGCCTCCTGCGAAAAATCTTATGGCGGAGAGAAGAAGAAGAAAGAAGCTTAATGACAGGCTGTTCATGCTTAGGTCTATTGTCCCTAAAATCAGCAAGGTGAGATTGAATTCTGTATCGCCATGTAATTCTTCTCAATTTATTCATGATATTGTCCCTGTTAGTATGAGCTTAGTTAGTACTAAAATAGAGTCTGGTTTGGCTCAAGTGCTTGTGTAAATATTAACAATGTTATTGTGATCATAGATGGACAGGGCTTCCATTCTTGCAGATGCCATTGATTACCTGAAGGATCTTCTGCAGAGAATCAAATGTGTAAATGATGAACTGCAGTCATTGGCATCCGCGGGCTCTTCTATGACATTCCCGGTGAAGAAGGAATATCGGAAAACCGCATTATCAAGCCCAACTAATCAGCCACCAATGGTGAATTTTTTATTCGATCCTTCCCAATCGTGATGTCCATTTTAGATAGATTGTGATGCGTTCACTCCATTTTGAGCCATAGTTTCATGTCTTAAATTTGGAGCCTTCATATTCACTTCATTTCCCATATCCGTGGAATTATGACACCTAAATCGCAGGTACAAGTTGAGGTTAGAGAAGACAATGCTTTCAATATCCACATGTTCTGTAGCTGTAGACCCGGGCTTTTGCTCTCCGCCATAAGGGCCTTAGATAGTCTTGGCATGGACATTCACCAGGCAGTCATCAGCTCTGTTGATGGTTTTGCTTTAGATGTTTTCAGAGCTGAGGTAACATTTTTTGTCTCATGTTTTTCGGTAAAGATTCATTCCTCACTAATACATAAGCTCGATTTGAATGCGATCTTAACACTATGTTTGGTTCAAGGAATTTAAAAGAGAAAAGAAAAGAAAATGAAGTGGAAAACAAGTTTTCTTGTTTGGTTAGAAAGGAAAAGTGGAAGGAAAAGAGAATGAGAAGGCAAAATGTACCAAGTGGAGGGAAAACCAAATTCCTCCCATTTTGGTGAGGAAAATGAGAGAAAACCATTTTCTTTTCTTTTCCTTCAAAATTCCTTGAACCAAACATAGTGTAAGAGTTGTGAATCAAAGGATTGGAATTGATTCCTTTTCCTTGTCTACTACCTCTCTTCATTTGACAGAAATGCAAACGAGTTGTTGATGTTCACCCTGACGAAATCAAAACTGCTCTTTTGGACACTGCCGCTTTCCATGGGCTGGTATAGATTTTGTTGTGTCAAAAAGTTCAGGAAAAATGCACACTGTGAGCCACTGTTTGTCGGAGGCCCTCTCAGGGACACGGCCGATTTACTCCTTAGAGTAGAGGTAACGTTTGCACGCATTTTGGTCTCTTAGACTCAAAAGTAGAGGGAGGATAAGAAGGGTGGGATGAATTGAGCTTGTTTGGTTTGGTTATGAACTTTAGAAAATATGGTTTTGTGTTTTGGGAGTTCTAACTGCAGGTTCTTTGTAATTTATAACCACTGAGTAGCTTTCTTGAAATGGCAGTGTTTTGGTAATAAAGAGCCAGTCTGTTGCATAATCTGGCTGGCAGTGACCTGTATTACCTATGAAACATGTTTTATGAACTAATAATATATCTACTCCGTCAATTGGATTTGGTGTAATTCTCAGATATCTTCTTTACAAGGGGTAGACGTTATGGACACAGTAAAATCATTTTGATACTAAAATGAGTTGTTGTAACATTTTGGCAAAGAGGGTTACACTGCCCCCACACCATTTGATACAAAAAAAAAAAATATTGAGTACTATTATTATTATTAACACTTTTAAAATTATTCTACAGTAATAATTACAACTTTTTTATGCAAAAAAGCATATATCTAAACCCAATAACTGTTGTTATTAGAGAAATTAAATGTTGCAAATTTTTAGAATTAAATATTTTAAAAAAAATTACAGTAGCTATTAAAGAAATTAAATATTTAAAATTACTGTACTTATTACTGTTACTAATAAAGACCTACTCAATATGATCTCACATAACATTTCTTTGTTACGGAGTACTACGGGGTATTACTTTTGCTATTCAAGAACTCCTCGATACGATCACACATAACAATCCTTTGATCAGTATCTTTACGAAAACAAAATATATAATTTAATAGAATTATATAAAAAAAGAAAATATATGATTTTACACAAATATATAAAATTTTACCAAGCTCCGAGACGTCGGCCTACGCAAAGAAAGTTGAGGATCTTTATGTGTTTTGTTTAAAAAATGGTAGTGAATTTATAGAGTAATTTCTTTTAATAACCTCAACGGCATTGTAGTTAGAGCCTTAGAGGTGGCAATCGATTCAACTAGATCGATTTCGGATTGAATTTTTTTGTTTCAAATTGAATTTTTTTGTTTCTCATTTCTTTTTTTCATCCGTCCCAAAAAACTTTCTCATTTCTTTTTTTTATCTGTCCCAAAGACTTTTCTCATTTTTATTAAAAAGTCACTTTTACCCCTAATAATTCTTAACTTACTTATCACATGACACTTTTTCAATACTAATCTACCCATCACATCTACTTTTACTTATCACATTCAAGGACATTTTTGGAAAGTTAACAACAAAATACACTCTAGTTAAATCTCTTAAAATTCAAAATAAGAAATATTTTGTGGGACAGAGGGAGTAAATCGGTTGGGATACAATTTGGATCGGATATATTTCGATTTCAGGTCTAGTTTTGTTCGAATATATTTTGGTTTCATAAATGTTTTAGTTCGGATATATTTCGATTGAATATATTTTGCATATATATTATTTTCTAATTAAAATTTAATTATTCTCGTTTCTTTTTTTTGTTTTATCACATTTATCAATTTATCATCAATTCAACCTCATATTATTTTATGTTTTTTTAATTATACTATCTACAACCTAAATAGTCGTTCTTTTTTGAACTTTTAGTCATATTTTATAAATTTGGACTAGAAGTTTTGAAAAAATATATATATTGAATTATGATATAAAATTAATATAATTAAATTTTGTTTTAAAACTTAGTTTTGATACATCAAACTTCTACCACATGTCCACATCTACTAATGTCTTTATATTTATAAATGCAAATATAAAAGATAAATTCAAATAATGTTACGCTTCAATTGAATACAATCGGTAAAAATTGGGTGAAATTATGTAAATGATACTCCCTCCGTCCCCTAGTTTTTGTCCACTTTTGACTTTTGGAACTGTTCACCTAAGCACTTTGACTCATCAAATTCTCTCAATGTGTAAGCCTAAATATAGTCATGTGTGATCTTGTTTGATTTGTCTTAATATATAGATTATTAATATATAATTTCTATAATTTTTTAATATACAAATTACAAGATAAAATGGATTAAAGAAGTGCATTGGATGGTGTGTAAAAATGAAAGTGGACAAATATTCTGGGACGGAGGGAGTATTTAATATTACTCCTAAAAATTTATAGAATTGAATGAGATTAATACAATTGAGTGCAAATTTTATAAATTATTTGAGTGTATTGTGTTGGAATTAGATAAAATCAATTTCAATAGAGTCAAATATAATTAATTTTATATCTAAATTTAATGGTGTGGATCAAATTTGAATATGATAACACTAGATGCTACCGCTAGAGAGCTTTTTAAAAACAATAACGCAAACCTCTAATGTTATCGAGTAATATTGGGTGAATATGTTTGAAACTAATCAAATTAGCTCCAAAACCAATAAAATTTATTGTAATTGGATTTAATTTGAATAAAATCCAGTTTTTCCATACAATTAATCATATACTCCTTCCGTCCCAAAAAGAATATCGCACTTCACTATGTAAAAATTATAGAATTTTTATTTATTTGTGCATTTTCATTGATTATTTGATAAAATTGACTATTATTCTTTTAACCTCTTACGTGTTTTTTTAAATATGTAAACTTTTTTTTATTTCTATACCAATCTTTAAATAAAATAAATTTAAAAAATTTAAAATTTTGCTTTGTTTTGCGTTATGTAGCATTCTTTCTGAGATGGAAGGATTTCTTTTTTTACTTTCCCTCCATAATCTTATCACTTTTCTTACGCCACCATTCAACCCATTTCTCAACTCCCACACACCTTCAGCTCTCAGACCTTATTTCTTTTAACTGATGCCTCTCAGACCTTATTTCTTTTAACTGATGCTTCACCTTATTTTTCAATTATTTTATTAGCTTTAATTGTGTTAATAACAAAACAGTTGGGTCACTTTATTCATCTCATATTTTATATGTATAACTTTTGTGGAATTTCTAAATATAGTACTCCCTCCGTCCCCATGTATTTGTCAACTTTCATTTTTGCACACTATCCAATGCACTTCTTTAATCCATTTTATCTTGTAATTTGTATATTAAAAAATAATAAAAATTATATATTAATAATCTATATGTTAAGACAAATCAAACAAGATCACACATGACTATATTTAGGCTTACACATTGAAAGAATTTGATGAGTCAAAGTGCTTAGATGAACAGTTCTAAAAGTCAAATGTGGACAAATACAGGGGGACGGAGGGAGTAAATTTAAGACATGCGATTTTGTAATTTTTTTAAAGATGGTAATCCATGTTATGAGGGAATGAGGAAAATAAAAATTAGTTCATATGGTAAAATAAAAATTTAAAAATATAATATGCTTATAGATAAAATTAAAAACTTTTTCATTTATTCAAAAGTAACGGTGCGTTATAGAAAAATAAGTGTTAAAATAAATTCGGAGTAAAAAACGCAATAAAGAAAAGCGTAAAGTAAGTGCACCGTATTTTATACTGATTCGGGAACTCCTTATTCCAATATGTTAAGGCTCTTTCTTAAGGACTTTCAATCCACTAGAACGCATTGGCCGTATCAACATGATCGTCACAACGGAACTAGTTTTGGCAAACAAACCTTTGCTAATAGGTTTACATTAGATAGACCATACTTCACGCCTTGAAGTATCCAACTAGTTTGAGAATTTTCCAACGGTTATCCTTGACCGCATCCGGAGATTTCACCACGACTATCTCCAATCGTATCAACAAGGATTTCAAGGATCTCCTTGACTGCTTCCGGAGATTTCACAACGCCTATCTCCAATGATTCTTCAATAAAGATTTTACAACGATTCTTCAATAAAGATTTTACAACGGATATCTTGACCGATTATAATGAATATGAAGTTGAATAATATGAATCAAAACTGCCTCAAGAATATAAAATACAAAGGTCAGGTCAGTGTGATAATATCTATAGACTCTAACAATTCCAACTCTCTTATAGATGATATGAGTCTATATCTGAAAGAATTATTTTAGAGGAAATTCTCTATATATTGAATTGGCTTGTGAAACTTGTTTTGAATACAAAGATCTAACCCTCTTTATATAGGAAGAGGGTAAAGTAAACAAGGAAATTCATATTCCTACTAAAATAAGAATTAAATAAACTAGGAAAGATACTACGGAGTAAATACTAAACATAATCCAACTAGGAAAGACGATATTAAACCTAATCCCAAAGGGATTCAGTTTCCTTCTTCAATCCCGCTTCTTTCTTCGGTCTCTAACACTTTCCTTCTTCAATCCCGCTTCCTTCTTCTATCTCTAACACCCCCTCAAGCTGGAGCATGGGAGTTCAACATGCACAGCTTGGACATCAAAAAACGTTCCCTCGGTTCGCGCATCTGCGCAAGCTTCTCCGGCAGGTTCCACGTGCAATTCCTACACTTATAAATTGGGAACTGCTCCAAACTTGCAAGAAACGTTCCCTCGGTTCACGCATATGCGCAAGCTTCTCTGGCACGTCCCACGTGCAATTCCTACGCGTACAAATTGGGAACTGCTCCAAACCACAGAAACTGAGCAACAACTGATGGACGCGATACCGAGCGATTGTGAACAGTAACCGCGATCAAGAGAAACTGCTGTCGGGACGGTCGACCCACTCGACCGTTCTTCAGCAACGGTCGATCATTCCGACACTTCAACAGCAACAACAGGCGACGATCGATGGATGCGATGCCGATCGATCGTGAATAATATACGCGGAAAGAGTTGTTTGTCTCCGTAGAACAACCCTTGTCTGATCACTTCTTCAAGAATGAGGGAGGACAATAAAAAAATAAAAAATCACAATATCTCGCCGGTAGGTATTGAACTGTGTATGCCCACAGGCATGGGAAGAAGCGTGTTTGAGGTCTCAAGAATTCAAAACTGGCTCCAATACCATGAAAGAATTATTTGGGAGGAAATTCTCTGTTTGAATTGGCTTGTGAAACTTGTTTTGAATACAAAGATATAACCCTCTTTATATAGGAAGAGGGTAAAGTAAACAAGAAAATTCCTATTCCTACTAAAATAAGAATTAAACAAATTAGGAAAGATACTAAATATTAAACATAATCCAACTAGGAAAGACGATACTAAACCTAATCCCAAAGGGATTCAGTTTCCTTCTTCAATCCCGCTTCCTTCTTCTATCTCTAACACTTTCCTTCTTCAATCTCGCTTCCTTCTTCTATCTTTAACAATATCTCTTTGGATCAAGCTCAATGTATGTTAAAGAAAGAAAAAATGGCTCTTAATAGCCTAATATAAAATTAGAGATTTTATGAACACAAAATATAGAAGAAAGAAGAGATTTATACAAAGCTTGATATGTTTAAAACATTGAAATGGTTTGGATATTTATAGGGATGAATTAGAAGTTGTTTAGTTTAAAAATGTTGTTATAATATAATAATTAACTCCTAATACCATAATTAAAAGAATCAAACCGTTGGGGTGAAAAAACTAAGAAACAGGTTCACGAACGGTCCATCACCTCGACCGATTGTAGCGAAACGGTTGACGCTTCGTGGTAGCAGTCAGATTCCAGCCAACGTTCAGTTCTTGAGAAACGGTTCAGTTGGTGGACCGTCAATTTTCAAAGCATGCAAACTTTCCAAATGGTCAGTCAAACGATCGATCGTTCTTAGGAAACGGTTCAGCTGGTGGACCGTTGTTTCCCCAACAGGTGGAACAAAATTTTAATTTGGTAAAATTCTCATAACTTGTTCAATACTTATCGGATTCGAGTCACTCAAAAACTGGCTATCTCAAGTATTTTGTGAGCTTTTTTAAGAATAGTACTTTGTAAGTTCATTTTAGGGGTGTAAACGGATATTAATCGAATTGGATGTGCCATTACCAAATTTGTATCCGTTTATTTTTTTTAGATATCAAATTCGCATATGGTATCTGCATCCGTCGAATATCGATTGGATATCGGATATATCCATACCTCTTTCCAATTTTTAAAATACAATTAAACAATACTTTAATTTTAAAGCATTCAAAAAAAATACTTTAATTTTAAATTAGATTAAAGTCAAACTATTGTTAAATCAATTATAATTTGTTATGAGATAATTATTTTCTTTGTTTTTATGATTTATGATATTCTACGATAACTTCATATGGAAAAAAGATATACACAACACATATATACACATATTTTTATATGTCTGTACATATTTTATGTGTCTACACATTTAGTTTGTATATAAAAGTGTCTTATATTTTGAAATATCAATAGAGAAACAAAATATAAACACAAAAAAATTAGGAAAAGCTATATATAACGGATCAGATATTCGAATAAACGGCTATTTAAACGGATGCATATTCAGGTCAGATTTTAAACGGATCAGATATACAATTACCAAATCCGTATCCGTTAAGGAATCGGATATCCTTAATCGGATACGGATAATATTTGTTTAAAACAGATGCAGATATTTCCTCTTTAAACGGATATGGATGCAGATGGTAATCGGATTTTTGGCTATCCATTGACAGCCCTAGTTTATTTGTACTCTTTGTGGTTTGTTAGACTTCATTTCAAACAAATTTAAAGCAGTCAATTCTTTTTCAGAAGCACAATAAAACGGGACGGGCATTGGAGATATGGGATGACTCGGGAATCCTCTTATACCCCATTCCTAAAAGGACAATGCTACACTTACACCAAAAAAATACACTTCCTCATTTGTACACCACAGTTATGCACAAATATTTTAATGATTTACACCGAAACAAGTGTTAGTGCGTTAACAAAAATTTACACGGACACAAGGTGTTAGCGTGTTAACAAAAATTAGTTTTACACCAATACATAATGTTAATGCAAACCTCCGGGGTACAAATTAGAGTATAAATGTTGGGGTACACCTGGCTTGACCATATTTTTTTACCCCGTTTAGAAAGCATTATCCCACTCTTCAGTCTTTAGTCTGTGAAAACTGAAAAGGCAGCATACTCACCAGTCACCAACCCTTTTTTGGAACTAAACAGAAGAAAAGCGAGATAACAGAGCCGTCCAACGCCGCCTCACCTCCGTCCATCGCCGTCTGCGCGGACTGCGCCGCCTTAACCGCCGTCTCCTGCCGCCGAGGACAACCATAACCCTAGACTCTAATCCTCTATATTTCAAGGTTTTTTTCTTCAATTTATTCATACAATTTTAGTTTCAATCCTTTTTACATATCAAATACTCTAAATTGTGCTATGTAGTTCTAATTGAATGTACAAACTTTTCTCTCTATTGAAATTGTAGGGTTTATGATATGAGTTTCATTTTTTTTATTGAAAAAAAATTAGACTGCTGAATACATTATAATTTCTTGAACTTAAATTTTACTCCGGGTATATATTTTTTTTTTGCACACTATTTTGCACAGGTCACACCTTCCACCCTAATGGCCCCTGATGCTTTAGATGCTCTTGCAGTAAGGGACAAAGTTGAGAAGTTTTTGAACGCTGCCAGGACAGGGAACATTGATCTTTTCAAGAAATTGGGTTTGCAGATCGGCGATGGGAAGGGGTTGGCACAGACGGCAATGGATGTTTTGGATGCAAACAAGCGTGGGGCTCTGCATTTTGCTGCGAGGGAGGGCCAGACTGATATGTGCAGGTACTTGGTTGAGGAGTTGATGCTTGATGTTAACACCAAGGATGAAGATGGGGAAACACCTCTTGTCCATGCTGCTATGCAGGGTCACACTGCCACTGCCAATTACCTCTTACAAAAGGGAGCTGAACCCACAATTGCTAGTGAGATGGGAATTACGGCGTTGCATCACGCTGCAGGATTAGGGGACATTGAGCTGATGAAATCATTTCTTTCCAAAGGTGTAAGTGTTGATTTGCAAAGCCATGCTGGTCCACCTCTTTTGTGGGCTGCAGGTAACAGCCAAGAAGACTCTGTGAAGCTGTTGCTGGAGCAGAATGCGAATCCGAATGCTGAGAGTGATGATGGTGTCACTCCTTTGCTTGGTGCTGTTGCCGCAGGTTCATTGAGGTGTGTAGAACTGCTAGTGAATGCTGGTGCCAATGTGAATATAAGCGCGGGTGGATCAACACCTTTACACATTGCTGCTTATAATGGTAGTCCGGGTATGGTCAAGACATTGTTAGAAGCAGGAGGTGATCCCAATGCTGTTGATGAGGAGGGGTTGAAGCCAATTCAGGTTGCTGCTGGTGTGGGTAATCGCGAGGTCGTTACCCTTCTTTTCCCCGTGACACCACAGATTCAAGGGGTGCCAGAATGGAGTGTTGATGGACTAATTGAATACATGAAGTCTCAAGCCAAGAAATCTCAGGAAAAAGCTCCGAATGAACCAAACAAGCCCATAGAGCCAACCCTTCCCAAGAAAAATTTACCTGAGGTGTCCCCTGAGGCTAAAAAGAAGGCGTCTGAAGCAAAGGCTAACGGGCAGGATTCTTTTGGGAGAAAGGACTATGCAACGGCTGTGGATGCTTATACACAGGCTATTGATTTTGACCCAACTGATGCAACACTGCTTTCCAATAGAAGTCTTTGTTGGCTCCGGTTGGGTCAAGCTGCGCAAGCCTTGGCAGATGCCAAAGCGTGCAGAGAACTCAGACCAGATTGGCCAAAAGCTTGCTATAGGGAAGGTGCTGCTCTGCGCCTAATGCAGAAGTTTGAAGATGCTGCACATGCCTTCTATGATGGTGTGAGGCTTGACCCAGAAAACATGGAGCTTGTAGCAGCTTTCAGAGAAGCTGTTGAAGCTGGCAAGAGGTGTCATGATGCCACAAGTAAGGTGAGTTCTGATCTCTAGAGCTGAAAATGCGCAGTGATGCTTTTAACATCTCCTATTGAGACGTGGGCTTCAGTTTGTATTCATGATTTTGAATTATTTTATGGATTTACTTCTTATGATGCATTTGGTGATTTTATATCTTCTATGGCAACAAAGGTTTGTTAACTGTTGCTGTTAGCACATTACAAAGAGCATGCTTATGTTTCTGGTCTATGGATCGATAGAACTCTGAATTACTTGTGCAAACACATTATGATGATGAAAATTAATTTGATTATCCATTGTGGCAATTAATAATCTTAGAAGTATAGTGCTAAAATAAAATATTAGAGTAGAAGGTAGTAGATGAGTGCGATGGTGTTAATATAGTGCGATTAGATGATAATGCTTATTTTGTTACTGTTGAAAATGAGAGAAATGACCTATAAAATTGGGATGAACTTTATTCTAAGGTTGTAGATAATGCACAAGTCACTATTTTCATTTTTTTTGAAACTTTTTGTTCCTTTTATGTGCTTTCATTGACCATTTGAAAAAATAGTCCCTATAAAATACTCTCTCTGTTCTACAAAACCCTTCCGATTTTGACTTTGGGGAAAAATAAGGAAAGTGTAATTTTGGTTGACTTTCCAATTTTGCCCCTGATGTGATGGGAAAAAGTTTGATGTGATAGTTTGGTTATTAGTGAAAAAATATGATGTGATAGGTAGGGTATAAAAAAGTAGGGGTAAAAGTAGTTTTTTAATAGAAAGTGAAAGTGTTTTGTGGAAAGTAAAAAAAATGAAAGAGGAAGTGTTTTGTGGAACGGAGGGAGTATTCAACTTTTGTTTTTTGCTCTTGTAAAAAACGTTGTTTAAGGCATCCTTGCCAAAATATTTCTTTTAAAAATAGTCTTTAAACGCAATTAGTACTTTTAATTAGTTAAGGTAACACATTTATTTCGCACTCGACGTACTAGTCTTACATTTTTTATTACCTCTGACGGAATTTCATGTTCTAAGTTTGTCTTCTTATTCGTATTACATCTCTCACTCCAAATATAATAAGGAGTAAAATTCTGGAATGAGAATTTTAATTCGATAAGGCTCTGTTCCGTACGCCTGATCTGATTGAATCTGATCTGAATTTTTGAAGTTCTGATCTGATCTGATTGGGTATGATCTAATCTGATTGGGTCTGATCTGATCTGATTAAATCTGATCTGATCTGATTGGATCTGATCTGATCTGATTGGGTCTGATCTGATCTGATTGGGTCTGATCTGATCTGATTGGATCTGATCTGATCTGATTGGATCTGATCTGATTAGATCTGGTGTAAATGAAATTAAATTTGATTTAAATTAAACTTAAAATTATTACAAAATTTAATAGTTTTAAAGTATTACAATTCATATATACCTAAAACAAGTAAAAAAAAAAAATCAGCTAATCATTAATATGTTTAGATTTTTTTTTAAAATATTAAACATCTTTTCAATATCACAACTTTTTAAATTTTTGTGAAAACTAAATAATCGGTATTAAAATAAACAAATATTAGAAAATATTGATGCTATTTTACAAAAATATCACATTCTATATACATATTACATAAGAATATATTTCATGTTACAAATTAAAGATCATATAAAATTTTAAACATTAATATCGCTTTCACCTCTATCAATTTTGTCCTAAATTCACCCTTGTGTATATTATACCATCTTAAAGTTTAAAAGTAAATCTTTTTAAGTATATAAAATATTTATAGTTTTGAAAACAAAGTTTTGTATAATTATTTTATAAACAAGTATTTTAAAATAAATCTTTTTAAAGTTTGAAAAATAAAACTTTTAGCTTTAACATTGCTTCCATGCATCATTTCTATCCTACAAGCTAAACAATTATTTAAAATAATGGTTTGTAGTTGAAAATAATAATAATAATAATAATGATAATAATAATAATATAAAAACATTAATATTTAAAATTATAACATTAATTAAGATTTAGGTGTGTGTAGTTTTAAATAAAGTAATGTGATTTAATCAAATAATAGTAATTATTATTTAATCCTTGAAAAAAAATAAATATTATCTTTTATATTTTTTCTTGATTTGATATTATTGGATTTGATCTGGTCTGATCTGATCTGATTGGATCTGGTCTGATCTGATTGGATCTGATCTGATCTGATTGAGTCTGATCTGATCTGATTGAGTCTGATCTGATTGGATCTGATCTGATTAGGTCTGATCTGATCTGATTTTAATAAGAATAAGTAATAATTATAAAAAATAAGTCCTACAGAACAGACCCTAAATGACCCAATTTGTATTAAGAAAGGTATGAAAGCAATGGAATATGATGTGACATCGATGTATAGGAGAGTAAGGATGGAGTAAAAATAAGTATATGATCAATTGAATACTTTTCCATCCTCTCACAAATGTATGATGTGACACTGATGTAGAGTAATTTTTTTAGATGATGGTTTATATGATGAGTTGTGCTTCTATGATCTCAAAATTCACATATGTAATGCAGATCTTCTCACTTTTTAGTAGACTAATGTGAGGATATTTAATTTTTTTTCAAAAAATCTAATTCATCTATGATATTTATATATTAAGGTTTATAAAATTAAAGTAGATCTTAAGATCATAGAAGAATTAACTTTATGCTCCCTTCGTCCCGTTTTAAATCGCTTGTTTTGACTTTTGGGCATATTTAAGGAAAGAAAAAATAGAGTTGATTTTTCGAAATTGTCATTACTTTTTAGGAGAGTTGGCGATGAATGAGAAGATAAGGTGGAGGAGAGTGATTTATTTTAGGGGTAGTTTAGGTATTTTACTCTTAAAAGTTTACGATAACAAGTACCATGCAATTTATTTTGGGACAGAGAAAGAAGGCAAACATGCAATTTAAAATGGGACAGAGAGAGTATGATTCATGAATAATTTTCACATCTTGGAAGTTTCAAAATATGTACTACTATTTTAATAGTTATAGGCATTATTAGGCAATACAAGGACACATTATTTAGTATGGGTTAAATACATTTTTAGTCCCTCTAAAATAGACAAGTTTTATTTTTTATTTCTGCGAAATATTTTTTGGTAAAGTCATCCTTATAAAATATTATTATGAAAATAGTCCTTAAACATAATTAGCATTTCTAACTAGATGACATAACACATTCATTTCATACACAACATCTTAATTTGGAACTCTAATTACATGTGATACAATTTTCAAGCCCTAAATTGTGTACTTGTTTATATTACATCTCTAATTCCCAAGTTTCTTAGAAATATAATACTCCTTCCGTCTCAAATTGCTTACAACATTTGGAATAACGTACCAAATATTATTTATTTTAAAATTATTTTATTTATAAATTGGTAGAAAAATAAAAGTTAAAATTACATCGTTTAAAAGTAAATCAAAAGTTCTACAAAACAAGATGTGACAAGATTATTTTATATTGTCAAATGGTCAACCAAAATGAATAAACAAACAAAAGTTAGAGTGTGAAATAATATATGTGACATTTTTTAGATGGATGGAGTATATGATAAAAATTTAGGAATTGAAGATGTCATTTGATACAAAAATACATCAATACAACTTATTGGATCTGATCTGATCTGATCTGATTCTAATAAGTTCTGATCTAATCTGATTCAACATATTTTTTCTGATCTGATCTGATCTGATTGGATCTGATCTGATCTGATCTGATTGGATCTGATCTGATCTGATCTGATCTGATCTGATTGGATCTGATCTGATCTGATTGGATCTGATCTGATCTGATCTGATTGGATCTGATCTGATCTGATTAATTATGATTTAAATTAAAATTTTAAATCAATAATTTAATTTGACTTTATAATAACATTTGAAAATTGTAATGATAATTCATATTATAATATAATCAACATTTTTTATTTAATGATTATTTTTTAATAAAATAAAAATAGTCAATTCATATATTAGAATAATCATTCATATTATAATGTAATAATATTTTTATTTTATGATTATTTTTTTATAAAATTAGAATTATACACTAGAATAAATATTTAATTTAGATATACATTAAAAAATAATTAAATTTTGATAATCAATATATAGAAGAGATATTATTTTTATTAAAATATTTCATCCTTATAAAAGATCAAAAGTTTAGAAACTCAAATTACAAGTAGCAATAAAAATATATTTTAAAAGTAGAATTAGATTGAAAATGTAATAATAATGATGATGATAATAATGATAATGATGATGATGATAATAATAATAATAATAATAATAATAATAATAATTCTTGATGGGATCTGATTTTAATAAGTCCTGATATGATCTGATCTGATCTGATTGGATCTGATTTGATCTGATTAAATCTGATCTGATCTGATTGGATCTGATCTGATCTGATTGGATCTGATCTGATCTGATCTGATTCGATCTGATCTGATCTGATCTGGTCTGATCTGATCTGATCTGATCTGATTTTAATAAGAATAAGAAAAAATAAGAAAAAATAAGTTGAACGGAACGGGCCTTAGAAAATGAGAATTGTAACTAAAGTAATTACAATGCAAAACTAAACTGTTGATTACAAAATCAATGTGTTATATCAACAAAATAAAATTCTTAATTACGTATAAGGATCATTTTTTAAAAAAATTGTAAGGACAACATAAACAAAAAATATTTTACAAAGACAAAAAAAACTTACATATTTTAGAACAAACTAAAAATATCTAATTAGTATTTATATCAACACCAAGGTTCAAATGACATTGAACCTTAATGTCATAGGATGACCCGGGGCCGCTCCGGTGCCCCGTTCGTAAAATTGACGGTTCCTACCCCCCCGGTAAACCCCACACCCCGGCCCCGACCCGAACACATCCCCCCACCCCTTTCAATTGCACCCCACAAGTTGATTTTGACTTTGGAGTCAAAATTTGACTCCAAAGTCAAAATCAACTTGTGGGGTGCAATTGAANGTGTTCGGGTCGGGGCCGGGGTGTGGGGTTTACCGGGGGGGTAGGAACCGTCAATTTTACGAACGGGGCACCGGAGCGGCCCCGGGTCATCCTATGACATTAAGGTTCAATGTCATTTGAACCTTCCCCTTATATCAATGGTGACACTTGTTGTACACCAAGTTACCTCATTTTTATCTTTAACCGATAAGATTTATCTGTGCGCGTGCATAAACAAATCTTGGAATTGTAATATCAATAAGAAGTGTTAGAGAGACCCCAAGATTTTGACACCTAATGCACACCAAGGCCGAAACAGACACACTCATACATTTAATATCTGTGTGTAGAGACATTAAACGTCTCGATTTGTCTATATTGGCCTTGATATATATTTGGTGTCAAAATCTTGAGATCCCTTACTATTTTTGTATCAATATTTCAGTCTGATCCATAATGAAATAATACTCACCTACAATCTTGCTAGGATCCAAGAAATTTGAGGTAGGTCTACAGAGGAAGCCCATAAAGGGAGCCCATGTATAAACCTTAATCTTGAGAGTTCTCAAAGCCTATAAGAGCATCTCCAATCATTGAGTTTTGACTTGTTAAATGTCATTATTTGACAATTTATTTCAATTTTTGTACTCCAAGGGGCTTGCTATATTAAAACACACTTCGTAAATTTTAACTTTAGCTTGTCATATATAACAAGCCTCTTAAAATATAGCAAACCATGATATTGATTAAATATTTGATTTCTCTCTTATTTTCTCTCATTCTCCTTCTCAAAATATTTAGTTACTTCAACTCTCTAATTTTTTTACTTTTTGTAAAGTTCTTTTCTCTACTCTTTAATTGCTATTTATTAAATATTTAAAAAAATGCTCTTTATATTTTATTATTTTCCCTAAAGTAAAATATTACTCCGTATTGTTTTTTGAAATTATTATTTTTAAATTACATAATTATTACTTAATTTTTATAATATAAATAATAATTGAATAATTATTATAAGGAAAGTATTATAATAGTGAAAAAAATATAATATACGGAGTAATTGTTAGTTAAATTATAGAAAGCGAAAATTGAAGATGACAATGTAAACTGGCTTGCTATACCACTATTCACATGCTAAAAAATAACTTTAGCAAGTCATGTTTAACAAGTGTGGTTGGAGATGCTCTAAAAGAGGAGCATTGAGGATGAGCTTCATTCCTAAGGATCATCTTAGATTTCACTAGACAATCATTGAAAAAAATTAAATTATAATTTGATCGTATGACAAAAAGTCGAGTTTGTACTTAGTACTTGTAGAGACCATATGTATAGTATAGTTGTCATCTAGCGTATTATATTCATATTATATTCTTTTGTGCGACCTTATTGTTGGATTTACTTAAAGATTCATAAGAAAGTTCATTCATGTTTGATTTCTTATGAAATTGGTGGCATGGATCATTATGCATCACTAGATTGAAAAAGTATGAACAGACATCATTTTGTAATAAAATCAATAACACTAAAAAATTACTCCCTTTGTCAAAAAGACTCTTGTTCGGTTTATGATGTTTGGCTGAAGCTATTTTCAAATCAATACAAGTAAAAGTTGGTGTGGAATTAAAAAATAAAAATTATATAGTAAAAAATTCTATCAAAAGTTATACATAACAAGTGGTGATAAGGTTATTTTATTTTATCAAACAGTGAATGGAAATGTATAAGTAAAGTAGAATTGGTGAATTCAATTCTACGAAATTGAATCCCATGAAATTTCAATTTCAATTCTATTTCAATTCCATCAATTCCGTATACCAAACAGACCCTCAGAGAATTTACATCATTAAGTACTACGGAGTATATCAAAAAATAGTTATGATTTAGTATTATATAAGTAAATTTTAAAAAACAAAAAAAAAATCAAATATCAAACCATAAAAAATCGAACCGATGAACCAACAACTCACATATTTACTGAGTTAAATTTTAACTTTCCGTTTAATTTTTGGTTTTAGGTAAAAATTGAACTAAAAAACAAAACTCAGCCCTAATACATATATTTTGTACTACATACATCGTTGAACTTTTGTCTAATTTTGATTTTTCAAAATCAACTATTTTTCACCTTTCATTTATATGTAAATGAAATTGATATGGTATAAACGTATGATAAAATAATATTTTGAAAATATTACATGAAAAATTGAATAGAATTAGTTTTGTATGAATATCTAATACAATTTTATTAAATTAGTTATCAAAATTAATCTGTTTTGACTATAAAAAGTCAAAACTGAATAAAAATACTTAGGAACATAAGTAAAAATGTATATATTTTGAAATGGAGAGGGGGGCATGGGGGGTGTTGTGGTGGGGTGGGAAGGTAAAGGGCATGGGGGTAGGGTTTAGGAGGAGTTAAGGGAGTAAGAACCATCAATTTTACGAACGAAGCACCGGTATCCCAGATCATAATATGACCCAGAGTTCCAAGGTCAAAAGAACTGTTGTGTATATAATAACATGAATATATGTTGGAAATGAATACTCCCTCCGTCTTCAATTTGATTACAAATTGCGGGTTACGGAGCAAAATTTCTTACTTTTTAAAAATTTTATGTACAAATTAGTATATCAATAAGATATACTCCGTAAAAATTACATAATAAAATACTACGTCAAAAGTTCTATAAAACAAGGGGTGACAAGAATACTTTATTTTATCAAATACTTAATGAAATCGCATAAACAAACAAAAGTTATCGAGAGGAGAGAAAAAATAAAATTGTAATATATTTAGGGACGGAGGGAGTATTTGTTACTCTAAAAGACTTTGCCTTTAGAGTAATGAGCCGTCCCAAATTGAATTACACTCTTTTGAGACCTATCTTTCGATAATTTTTTTTGTTTGTATAATTTTCGATAATTTTTTTTGTTTGTATAATTTTCACTAAATATTGATAAAATAAAATATCTTGATCACTTCTTGTTTTGTTAAACATTTGACGTAATTTTTTGAAATACTCCGTATTAATTAGTAATTCATTCGAAGTAAATGAGAAATTTTAATTACTCCGTAGTAATTAGGGAGTACGGAGTATAATCTAATTTGAGAGAAGGGAGTGCATTGAAGAATTTGTAGGGTGTACAGTGTACACTTTACAGTAGACTCTCTCACATCCCAATGAATTTGGCTATTTGAGGTCCGTCGCAACTTTAAACTTCAAACACCACATTATCTTCAGTCTGTGAACGAAAGGAGCAGATTCCGAGCCATCCAACGCCGCCTCTCCTCCGTCCGTCGTCGTCGGCGCCCCCTTCACCGCCGCCTCCTCCGGCCGCCAAGAATAAACGAAACCCTGTACTCTATCCCTCTACGTTTTAAAGGTTTTTTCCTTCAATTTATTAGTACAATTTCAGTTTCAATGGTTTTTTCTTTATCAATCACTGTATATTCTGCTGTGTAGTTCTAATTGGATGTACAAAATTATTACTCCATTGAAATTGTAGGATTTATGGTATAAGTTTCAATTTTTTTTGAGACTGTTGAATACATTTTAATTAACTCACTGCTAATGCCATTTGCCTCTTTCAACAGGGAGCTGATCCTGCAATTGCTGGTGAGATGGGATTAACAGCCTTGCATCACGCTGCAGGTATGCCGATGAAATCATTTCTTCCCAAAGATTTAAATGTTGATTTGCAAAGCATGGGCTGCAGGTAACGGCAAAGAAGAATCTGTGAAGCTGCTGCTGGAGCAGAATGCAGATCCGAATGCAGAAACAGAAGATGGTATCACTCCATTGCTGGGAGCCATGGCAGCGGGTTCGTTGAGATGTGTCCAGCTGTTGGTGAATGCTGGTGCCAGGGCAAATGTCAGCGTCCGTGGAGCAACACCTTTGCACATTGCTGCATTTACTGGTAGCCCAGAAATGATCAAGACATTGTTAGAAGCAGGAGCTGATCCGGATGAAGGTGATGTGGAGGGGTTGAAGCCAGTTCAGGTGGCTGCTAGTATGGGTAATCGAGTGGCTGTTGCCCTTCTTTTCCCTGTAACATCACCGATTCAAGGGGTGCCAGAATGGAGTGTTGATGGGCTAATCAAACACATGAAAGCTCAGGAAAAAGCTCGGATTGAATCAAACAAGGCCAAAGGGAATAGAAGTCTTTGTTGGATCCATGCAACTGTGCAAGCCTTAGCCGATGCCAAAGCTTGCAGAGAAGTCAGGCCAGATTGGTTTAGGGAAGGTGCTGCTCTACGTCTAGTGCTGAAGTTTGAAGATGCAGAAACGTCTAAATAGTAGTCATCTGGTACATACTGCTTCCCCAACACCCATGATAATCAATTTTATAATTATGCATATAGAGTACATATTGATAATCAATTTTATAAATGTGCATACAAAGTACGGAGTACATGATGATATTCTCTGTTATTCTATGCTCTTCTTTTACCATTCATTCTATTTTTGCTATGGCTCAAAGGGAGTGGGTGAACTCTTTCTCTTCACAGGTTTCTGTCCGATTTCATACTGTTGTGTGATATGAATTTCTTGTCCATTTCCAATCCATATAATACTCTCATTTATGTTATGGTCAAAGCATTTTGGTAACAGAAGGTTTGCGAAAAAAAAGGCAAGAAATTTGAAGATTCAAATGATTTAACCGTAAGAATGAGAATCCCAAGGTGCATGGTCCTAATAAAACTTGATGTCATCCCTTTGTGTCTATTCTGGAGTTTTCAGTGTATTAGTTGCTACACAATCAGAGATTTGACTGTCTTTATGGTTTCTTTGGCTTTCTGGAAATTAAGTTTGATTTGGTGATTAAGGGTTTTAGTTATAATATAATGGCTGGGTTTTATATCCTAGATTATGATGACTGGGAGGGATTATATACTCATGGATTCGTAGTGTTTTTAGTTGACTTTGCGACAAGTTTGGAGTTGGGTTAATGTGGCATTTTTTTAAAAACAGATTGAAGAGCGCAAGGAGGCTTGGGTGAGGATGGATGTAGTTGACAACTTTTGAGTAACGCCGAGGTCATGACCAGGATTGCTTTTGGGTGAGTGTGGCTGGTCTCTGTATTTGCTTCTTCTTATGATAAAGGCTCTGTTTCCAGGGGAATTTGATCTGTTTATTGGTTGTTTTTAAGCTGAGAACCAGCTGATTGCTCTAAATTGCAATGATTGGTTAGGTTGGGAGGAATGGGTCACTAACATTGGGGTTATTTGGTGTGGCATTGTTCTTCTCTGCAATTCAGACTTAAAGAGTTTTTGGGTTTGGCTTGGACTTGGGGTGTAAGCTTGGATCTTGTTTAGCCTATGGTTCTTACCCACCTAACTCTCTTGGTAAACTCTCACCCCGTTTCGACCCGAGCCCATCCCCACCTTGTCTATAAATAAAGCAAACAGACCAATAGCTATGACCACCTGTAAATAATTTGAGAAATGTTCCTTCTGGCTTTCCAAATTGATACTTTTTTTTTGTTTTTACAAATTTTCGTATAGTACGAAACTAATTATTTAAACAATGATATTATTGACAAATAATAGATGAACCCTACCGTATCAAAAAATCATACACTATTGCACAAGTAGTATTCAGAGACTAAATATTGTTGGTACATATCATTTTTATATAAAAAAACATTCACAAATACTCCCTCCGTCCCACTCTTTTTGTCCACTTTCATTTTTGCACACCATCCAATGCACTTCTTTAATCTATTTTATCTTGTAATTTATATATTAAAAAATTATAAAAAATTATATATTAATAATCTATATGTTAAGACAAATCAAACAAGATCAGACATGACTATTTTTAGACTTACACATTGAGAGAATTTGATGAGTCAAAGTGCTTAAATGAACAGTTCCAAAAGTCAAAACTAGACAAAAAGAGTGGGACGGAGGTAGTATCTTTTAGCTGTGAACACCACAAAAAAAATTGAAATCTTTTAATATAATATTTGAGACTCCGTTTGCTAGAAAGCCGCCATGTGTCAAGTCTATGTGGAATATAATATTTATTCCTCAATTATGTATACAATAAATGTATTCCCCTTTTACGTTTGAAGAATCGTTCCCATCAATCTTACGATTATTGGAAGAGCCCGGTTCTATGGCCACTGGATTCCAGTGGCCACGGAAGCCACTGTCCACATACGGAGCTCCGTTCATAAAACAGATGATTTCTACCCTTAATCCCCCGGTAAACCCCTCGTCAAGTCTCGACCCAAACTAATCACTCCACCTACGTCAATTGCACCTCGTAAGTATAATTGACTTTAAAGTCTAAAGTTTTGACTTTATACTTACGAGGTGTAATTAAAGTCAAAAGTGGAAATGACTCTTTTCCTAACTCCGCACGATCTAACGCACGACCCAGTCTACAACATCCCAGTCCCAATACCATGTCTGACCTCCATAATAATTGACACTGGGTCCGGTATCCATTACTACATACAAAACAAATTTAGTGTTTTGGATCAATATGGAGTACTTGTTTCTCGAATCTTTTGACACTCTTACATCGTGATAAGCAATTAAGCATCATTAACTTCATCTGGAGGGGAATCAAAGATAGTCCAAGTGCTATTGTGATTCCTCTATTCGATTAGGGTGTGGGGTATACATACCTTCATACTTTTTATACTGTATCGTCTCTCTCATTCACATCAATGTCATATCAAATTTTATTAATTCCATACTTTCATACTACATGTGGCAGTGTACATACGCTAATCGCCAATTTTTTACAATCATTTTTAAATAACTAATGTTAGTACTCCCTCCGTCCGAAATAATAATGAATGTTCACTATTTACATGGTCAAACTCCATTCCCTTTCTTTCTCTATTTTCGTTAGTAATTTGATAAAGTAAAGTACTATTGTCACTACTAGTTTTGTAGATCTTTTGATGTAGCATTTTAATATGTAATTTTTATTTTTTAACTCTATACCATTTGTCATATATAATTATTTGAAAAATAATTTCAGTCAACACAATAATAATACTATAACATTTCATTGATTTAAACGAAACCACAACACTAAATAAAAGAAAATACCAATCCATAATAAAAAAACATTAAATAACAGTACTATAAAAAAATATTAACTCCGATAAAGATTTTAAAAATCAAATATATATAGGGGTGTTAAATTAAGTTTAAATTTTTTGAATCTAGAGGTAAAAAAGTGGTTTTGAATTAGGTTATTAGTTTTTTTAATTGAAAGGTAAAAAAAGTGGTGTTCAATTAAGCATTTAATTTTTTTAAATGCAAAGGAAAAAAAATTTGTGTTGAATTAAGTTTTTAATCTTTTAAATGAAAATGTAAAAATAACAATAAGTAATCTTTTAAATGAAAATGCAAGTCTTATACTTCCTTACCATTTTTTTATTGTACCAAATTAGAGGTGACGGTATTACCTTCTTCACCAAATTGCCAAATAAAATTTTTTTGATACCAAATACTTCCTCCGTCCCAGGATATTTGTTCACTTTTGACTTTTTTTAGTCAAAATTGGTAAACTTTGACTTTAAATTAAATAAAAATGATATTAGATATTGATACAAAAGTTGTTTTATTAGATTTATTATATCAAATATTTTCAAAATATTATTTTATTTAATTAAAATACAATGTATATTTTATTTAATTATAGGTCAAAAGTTGAAAACAATAGACCAAAAAAATCAAAACTGGACAAATACTCAGGGACGGAAGTGGAGGTAGTATAATTTATCACACCCATTACCCATACCGTTCACCCTTAGATAAATTTTTTTGGATAACATAAAGTGAAAAATAAGGCAAACAAAGCGCGTGCACGCAAGCCAAAGTCCACTCCATCGAAAGGGACATCCTAAAATTGAAAGAAAACAAACACTCCTTAACTTTTTGTTTGTCAAATACTGTAATCAACAAGTTTCCCTTTAAGAAAGAAAGTAACCTTAAAATAATATTAATGGTCATTGATTGCCCATTAAGCTATAATGGATTATCCGCTTATCTCTAATTGCCAATCTTATAATTAATGGTGAGTGCCATCCAAACCCTCTAATTGGGACATTCGAAAATATGAAAAAATTATTTGAAATGATTTCATTACGCACTATTCCAAAAATAATTTGACATTTAAAAATTATGAGTAATAATCTCATTTTTCCGCTTATGTGTACATTTTAGGTCCCCATTAGAAAAGTAGGTGACCTAACGATTTGTTTTTTTAAAAAAAATTATTTCACACAACGAAATGAAAGTAAGATTATTTGAGTTAATTTTATTTTATTAATTTTAGAAAAAAAATTAAAAAATTTGAAATTACAGAGTACTACGTATGTTTTTAAAAGTATACTAGCACGCTTTTGTTAGAAATCTATGTATGTTCCAAAAATGTAACGGGTTCACAATTTTGTAGTTTGGTTTTAAGAAAAACAAACAATGTATTATCGAAAAAAGAATTTGTAATGATATACTTTGTATTTTTTTAATAAACAAAAATATCGTGACTCATCATCATATTGTCGCCGAACGTTTCCCCCGTAAGCCTGCTCCCAATTTTGGCATGTGCCTCACAAAGGGTTTAAAGAAAAGACTTTAGAAGAAAATAGGATAGAAAGAAATATTTTAGAAAAATCAATACAAAAATTCAACTTTTTTAAGGCTCCGTTTGGTACATGGAATTCAAACGATGGAATTGGAATTGAGGACTCCAATTCCAATTCTAATGTTTGGTAGCACAAAAATTATGTGGATTTGTAATTGATAGTACAAAAAATGAATTAGAATTAGGGAATTCAATTCTATGGAATTGAATTCGATGGAATTTCAATTTCAATCCCATCAATTCCATATACCAAACGGACCCTAAATATTCGAGTCTGGTCAAAGGGGAAAGTAATTAATGGATTAAAGAAGTATCAATTTTAACCTCCCAAATAAAACTCATCAAGCCTTGTAAGCCATAAGACAATTTGAGCAGATGTAGGTTTAGGGTTAGGGGGTTTTTGGACTCTTATTAAGCAGCGGCCGTAGTAAAAACAAAAGCCAAAACACCCTAATAACAGTATATAATTATCATTAATTTAATTTCTTTCATCCCTTTTGTCCTCACTTTAGCCCTAATCATGTCGTAGTGACCCTCCCCCGTCTGTCAACGGGCCGTTGAATGTTAAACGCCGTTACGACCGTCCCTCCGTTTAGTACCCCCCTTTCGTTCTTTCAAAACCTTCCCTTTCCGATGGCGCTCGAGGGCTTGAGCTTGGCTCGGACGCCGCCGGTCGACGCTGACCCGGAGGCGCCTGGCGGCGGGCGCCATGTCGCCGTCAACGGCGGCGGCGATGATGGTGCCAAGACGCCGCGGCTTCCCCGGTGGACGAGGCAGGAGATCCTGGTGCTCATACAGGGGAAGAGGGTCGTGGAGAGCCGGGTCAGGAGGGGCCGGGCGGCCGGGATGGAATTCGGGTCGGCTCAGGTTGAGCCGAAGTGGGCGGCGGTTTCGTCGTATTGCTTGAGGCATGGGGTGAACCGGGGGCCGGTTCAGTGCCGGAAGAGGTGGAGTAATCTCGCCGGCGACTTTAAGAAGATCAGAGAGTGGGAGGCCCAGACGAAGGATGAAACGGAGTCGTTTTGGGTGATGAGGAACGATTTGAGGAGGGAGAGGAAGCTTCCGGGGTTCTTCGACAGGGAGGTTTACGACATCCTCGACGGCGGCGACTGCGAGGAGCTGACTGCGCGATTGGCTCTGGCTTTGGGCCCATCCGCGGAGGCCGGTGCCGAAGAGCCGGAGGCGGAAACTTTGTTCGACAGCGGGAGAAGCGCGGCGGCCGAGGACGGGCTGTTTTCCGATTTTGAGCCGTCGGGTCAGGAGGAGACTGGATTTGCCAGTCCCGGTAAAGAATTGCTGCCGGAGAAGGAGCCAAAGCCCACCACTATTCCTGCCCCTATTCCAATTTCAGGTAACCTGAATATTGTTTAATCCCAGATACCCATTTTTTTCTGTATCATTTGATCTTCTGATTCATCTACCTAAATGAATTATTCTTTACCTGTTGATATTCTTGAAGGTGAATTTTTTCAATAGCAATGAAAAATGATGTTTTTTGGTCACTGAAAAATCCTTTAGTGTGTTATTTCAATATTGTCGAATACTTGTTCTTTATCAAGCTCATAGAAAGTATGGAATTCTGCTTGTCTTAAAGCTGCAAATTAATTTAACTTTTTTTTTTTGAATTTATGAATGATGTGCAGAGCAACAATATGAGCCCTTTTCTCAGCACACTCCTGCTAAAGGTAAATTTCCTATTAGACGATGCCAAATATAACCATTCAATAATTTATGAGTTTCATGTTTTGGTGTTCTTATTAATTTTGTGCTGCTCTTGTAGTCCATAGCTGAATTGCTACTGGGAAATGCCAAGAGCAATGATTGATTGTTTGGTAATGGTAAAAATGTGAAATTTGATTGAAACAGTTGAAGTTTCTTGGTGAGCTGATTTGCTTAAATTGTGTGGAAATGGCTGAATGAGTTGGATTGTCTAAAAATGTTTGGTGACCAAAAATGGTTTGATGTGCTGGTTATCTAAAAATGTATAAATTGCAACTTAGCCACCACTTGTTTTCAATTATAATTTGATTTGACCAACACAGTCATATAAGATAGTACTCCATTTGATAGAAATCTAGCCATTAAGACTGATTAGAGAAAATCAGTGCTACCAAATAGGATTCTAAGTTGTTTTCCATATGTTGTCTGCTAGAATTTTAACACCCAAATAATCTAATTATCTATTCTGTTTGTTTATTTCTTTCTCACTTTTATACGTGTTCAAATTCGACCAAGCAGTGCAAACATATTGGTAGTTGGCTGGATCTGTGAATCAAGAGGCAGTTAAAATAATTCGTGAGTCGAATTTTAAAATTTACAGGTCATGTTATATAAAAGCTTGTAGACTGAGGGTCGGTTTGGAAGTTGGGTTTTTTGAGGGCTATGTATATCATGAAATAAATATACTCATGGTTTAATAAAAACCGAGGGAATGACATGATATGAGATGATATTTTAATCATCTTTTATTCATTTTTAGAAACATTGATCATATCATGATATAAGTGAAAACCTTCTCAAACTCATCACCGTCTCACGTTATTATTATCCATGGTTGTAGAAATAATCTATGGAGATGATGGATTTGGAATTTTCCAATCATTATCATTTTTAATAAGGTTGCAGCAGGAAGTTCATCTGGCCTAAAACATTGCAACAATGTTTTTTTTGCATGAATTTTTAGTGTTATTTAACTTTGTACAATTAATTGGCCCTAGAAGTTTAATGTCACCAACCCCAACAAATTGGGATTAGAGTGCTAAGAATGATTATGATGATGATACAATAATGTAATCCTCCTTCATACTTACAATCCAATTGGTTTGCATACACTCGTGGTTAATATCATAAACCATTTAAATTTAAACCTAAAGTGGCATTAGGGTTATGAATTCTGTTGTCTGAACGATGATGAAAGCCCTCTGCAATATATTACTGTATCATATTGGCCTTCTTGGTAAAGATGGCTTCTCGGCAAGCCTTACGAATATTTGGTGTTTTGTCAGTTTTGTGTGTGGG